AAAAATGCAATCTCGGATCAAGAGAAAATGCTTCCAAAGCAAGAAGCAAAACACAAATGACTGATTTCTTCAAAAAGGTGTAGTTTTACAGTTATGCTTTTGTAATTACATAATACATTACAGTATTAAAACAGTACATATGTATTAATTTTTCTGTGTATCCTTGACGCCTCTCGTAAGTATACAAAGCACTTTTCTGTTTTCATTAACAAAATGCATTTTAGGTTAGTTTTGAGTGATATACTAAAATATTAAGCGTTAGTTAAACATTTCCTGCTGTTTATTTTACGTTTTATTGTACATAAAATGATTTTTCAAAGTTGGAATGACTGTTTTCTCTTTTGCTATACCCGTTTTTAGCTTTTATCGGATTATCCTCGATTTTTGCTATCCGTGGCGACCGCGCTACCCAATTCCGCAGATAATCGGGAGTATACTGTACTGTAAAATATATTGATCAATGTAATTTTTTTCAAAATTGATATAAGGTTCAGGGAATCGCATAGTTTGTGTTCTAGAAAAGACTGACAAACTTCTCTATTGGCATGCAGGCAACTTGAAACATTATTTGCATTAATTAAAAATGAAAACTGCTTGTTAATAATGTTTTCACAATTACCAGATAATAATTTTAAAGTAATAAAACTTCATGATAACATTAATAACATATTTTTAGACTTTAAACCTATAAATTACTTGTCTCTCAGCAAAATTGTAAAGTAAAGACACAAGTAAATTGCAAAACAATATCACTGAACAGCGTTTAAAGGGGAGAAAAATCAAACTCAAATTATTCAAATTTATTAACTGATTCCTCAATGAACTGAATATGATGTCAAAAACTGAAATTTCTGCAATAAAATATTTCGACCAAGTTTTGTCATATCAACCTTTTTGTACTTTATTTTTTATTATGCATTTAAAATCTCCTAAATATAAGGAAGAATGTAAAAAAGTTAAAATTTCATAATGTTTATAAAATTGTTTTCTTTATATTTAAAAATGTCAAAACATGAAAATTTGCATCATTTAAAATATTTTTGTAACTGGAAGTATATGTCTACTACCAACAGTTGTGAAACTGCAGGTCAGGTATGGAATTTGAGGACACACTGTGTGTATATACATACGTGAGCTTACAGAAAGGCAGTACCATATAAATTCCATAGAAAGAACTGTTAGAAAAGAATGGACATAAAAACAGCTGTTTATATATCCCATATAATAGCAAGAAGGAATAAATGAAGTATACAAATAGGGTTGGACATGAAAGCATGACTGTCAAAATATAAAAAAACTACTAACATTCTGTAAAAAGAAAAACATTTATACAAAAACTTTTTTTTTTCTATGTAAAGAAAGAGATTTAAAATTATTTTGGTCAACAAATAAAATGCCCTAACTTTTAATTCAAATTGTCATACGGATTACAGTAATTCCCACCAGAACATTTCCAATGGTGTTAAATTTTGAATTTGAGAGAATTAAAATATACAAATATTTCAACATTACATACACATAACAAACAGTGCTGCAATACTAAATCATGTCAAATTTGTAAAGATAAAATTTTAAATGAAATAGTGAACATTAGTAAACTTTGCATTTTAAAACATTCCACATCTGTTAGGATGGGAAAACAGTTCATCATAAGCTGCAACGCAGAGTAACAGCTTCTGCATGCCACTAACATGACACAAACAAAAGAAAAGGCCTCAGGCTACCCTGTTTTTACCATATATGTCCATAATCGAAGAATCATCACTCAGTTCCAAAAATTGAGTGTAAATATCTCGACTACATTCTCCTTTTGCATTAAATAAAAATTTGTAATAACTTCCATCAGCACATATTGCTAAAGTAAAAGGAAAGAACATATTTTTTTTCATATTAATGTTAATACTTATAGAAGAATAAAACAACATTTTAAATTCATTTAGTAAAGAATTATCAGAAATTCAACAATATATGTAGAGACAAACACTACTAAAATAAACTTCTTGGATCAGAAGTTTGTGTGCTATACGTGGTAGTTCATTATATTTGATCCAATAAGAAAAATAGATTATCTTACAAAGATGTGCAAAAATTGAATGGAAATATAAAGGGAAAAAAAAACTGAATGAAATTGCCACATCTATCAAAAGAAGAGAATAATAAATTTAATCAAAAATAATATGAAGGCTTAAATGCAATTATGAGTGCAGTTATTAAATTTGTTGTTCATTCTTTGCCAGTCTCTCCAAAGTGTCTGGCAAATTATTGGCCTTTGTCCAAAGCATTTATCCAGATACTGGCAGATTAAAATTTCTCTGAATGGCAAACTGTTTCAGCAATGCTTCTGCAACATACCTATGCTCCATTTTTTTTTTTTTCAACTTGTAAATACTGTATGCAAATTTTTGTATCGAAATCATCAATCGATATTTTTTCTTTGAGCAGATATTTTAGAATCATTTTTTTAATACAGTACCAATTAGTTTTAGAGAAACTGCATTTCTAGTAGATTTTAATTTGGCTGTATCCAAACTATATTTTTTGAATAACGTACACCTTATCTTCAGTGTAGAAGTTTTAACTTTATAGCTCGCAAAGTGGATAAATTTTTGAGACAAAAACAAAAAGATAATTTTGTTACCCATGTATCTTCCTTACGTCCATTGAAAACACAGTTATTTCTCCCAAGATTTTATTTATGTACACATGGCAGAAATATAAATGTTCATTAACATTTATAATGGATATTTCACAGCTTGCAAAAGAACTAAAGAATGCAAAATCCTTTTCTGGAAGAGAGAACTTTGAGGGCATTTATACAGAAACAAATTAACCAACAACAATCAAAACTTTTTAAGTCCCTAAAAGAAGAATCAACTGTAAGCTCATAAGAATTACTATTTCCTCTTTTCCAGAAGAGTCGAAATTTCACAACTTTCACCATAGCATCAGAGCATATCTAGCAGAGTTCAGCCAAAGAATCTGAATGGAAACAGAAAACCCATTCAATTTTTTGGTTCAATGGTCATGTACATCCTGTGATGTCCTAAGGTACATTTGTTATATCTTTGTTTTCCTACAGTTAGCTGTCCCTCACATCTCGCATAGCCTCTGTTTCAAACACGGAGAAAAGTGGGAGAGGTGAAGATAAAAGAAAAATAACATAGTGTTTTGCTTTACATATGAAAGGTTGATCTAAAATGCAGATGATTTTTAGAAAGGATCCAATATCCCAAATGCAGATAATTTTAAGAGATGGTAATTTTTTCCTTAAACTTACAACAATACTGGAAAAATATGAAAAATACAAAACATATTTCAATGCAAAATATCCATACATTTTGTTATATCTGACACTCTTGGAGGTCTATAATAGAGTAAAATAATATCTGGTTGTAAAGAAAGTTTTCCACCAAAAAAACATCCTTAATAAAGTTAGGGGAAAAAAAAAAAATGAAAGCAGTACCTTTAGTGCAAGCAGTAATCACCACCAAAATTTATGATTTTCTGCCAACGTTTTGGTAGTTTTTTAAAGCCTTCAGCCCAGAAACTTGGTCTGAGTTCAAAAACAGATCAGCCTTATTTCGGACATCCTGGGCATGATTGAAGATGGCACCAACAAGATGTAGCTGCAGATGTGATAAAAGGTAAGTGTCCGAAGGAATGATGTCAGGGCTATCTGGTGGGTGTGGGAAAAGATCCCATTCAAGTCCATACAGAGTCCAGCTGGTGAACGCAAACACATGTGGTATTGCATTATCTTGCTGGAACATAATATTTTTGTGCTGGAAATCAGTTCGGCATTTTTCCTTGATAACAGCATCAACACAGACTAGCATCTTGCTGTAGACCTTACTGTTGAGGGTTTTACATCTTTCCAGATACTTTTTGTGGATCCCACCAGATGAAAAACATGATATTTTTCTAATTCAAATCGAGGTTTGTGACACTACCGACGTGCTCACCAAGCACAAAATCACCCCCTTTTGGCCTGTGTTTTTGAAGTAAATCCACTTTTCACTACAAATGATGATTCGGTCAAGATTTTTGTCTTTGTCTTGATATTTGAGCAGATTAGTGAGGGCTTGAACATCTGTCCTTATCTGCTTGAGTCAGCTCATGCGCACCCAGTGATTGAACTTGTGCTTAAAGTTTATGTGATGCACAGCATGATTAATGCACATGACTCTAACGTTTAACTCCTTAGCAAACTCTCGATGGTTTCACATTGACCTCCTTCAACAAGTTCTTGTAGATGAGCCCATCAACATCAGTAGGCCAGAGCATTCTGCTACTTGAATGTCATAGTCTGAACTTTGGTACCAAACCTTCCCACTGTCATATCATACAGCATTAGTACCTAAAGCTGCACACATGATTTGATGACATTCTGTAGCTGACTTTTTTTTACAGAACCGGAGGTAAATGACGGTTCTAATCTGGTAGCGCAATATTTCCATTTCAGACACCTTGTACTTAATGATAAAGATATTTTTTTACAAACTTCACAACACAGTATTTTAAAGCAAGTCTCTCTCTTTCAAATGCCAAAAATTGTTTAACAAAATATGATTAAACACGCCAATGTGAACTGTCTGTGCAGATGATATTTGCGGTGGCAGGAAACATTAGTTAAAACTCGATATTACATGTAGAGAAAACTGGATACGCCTGAAAGGTTCATTATAGCAGGGTTCTACTGTATATACATATAACTGGATAATATGTTTTCATTGATGATTTTAAGCAAAAATACATCAAACTAAACAATTGCATTTTAAAATATTGTTAATAATTTAGCAGGAAAAGAATGTGAATTTTGCCATGAATACTTAACTAAAATGAAAGCAATTAGGTGGACAACCACACATTAATTACAGACAGATTTATTTGTGAAATATTAATTAATTTGGTCCAATTAGTCATGGCAATAGCAATTTAAAGCTTATCAAATATGATTCTTTTATATTTACAAAATATGTGAAAAAGAATAAGTTTAATACCTATAACAGAGTTAGGCTCAGTTCCAAACGCACAAATACAGTGTGACCCTCCAGGCACTTGGAAACGTGAAAAACTCCAAACAGAGCTAAAATATTTGGGCAAAAATGATGCAGATGCTAAGCTGAAACAAATAAATAAATATATGCAAGGTATTAAAATATCAAAGAAAGTATTTAACAAATCACTAACTTAATTGGTAACAGTCCTTTAAATTCCTAATTTTAATTTAAATACACCCTCCTTTAAGGCATTACATGTTCAAATTCCAAAACAATACATTAGTAATTTTATATTTCCCAAACACTTTTAGTGTCAATATGAAAAAAATAAAACAACTGCTGGATAATAAGTCAACGCATAGAAGAGTATTTCGTAAGCACACACAACTACTACACTGAAAGTTTTTTTTTTTAGCACACATTTAAATAGTGTTTCTTTTATTCAGTTAAACAATTTGAAGCCACAAATAATTTGGCACATTAATCGTCTGTTCCAGAACATTTACACTTTTGATATTATTCTTAATAAGAAGCACACAGCACAGCAGGAGTCTAGATAGGTCAAAGAGGAGAAGCAAACTAGATAGCAGTCTAGATAGATAAACTAGAAGCTGTTTAGATAGGTCGAAGAGAAGAATAAAGTGCCCTCTGCTCAGAATGAAATCTTAATTTAGTGTGGGATAATTTCAGTTTCAATTCATATGGCTAAATAATTAATAAAGCTCTAAAATTATTGGCTGAAAATTTGTGCAAGTTGTTTCCATTAGAGTGTTACGTAAAATTCATATAATATAATATGGATTAATCTAGATATGATTCAGTCCCAGGGCTAGATTTACATGTAAGCTGCACAAGCTATAGCTTAGAGCCCACACTTTCTCAAGGCCACCCACAAAAATTGCACCATATCTCATAAAAAAAAAAAAAAAAAAAAAAAAAAAAAAGAAAAAGAATCCTAACACTTTTAAAGGGCCCCATATCTAAAATAGCCTAGTATCTTGTCAAATCTAAATCCGGTCCTGTTCAGTCCAGAAAAAGCAATTATAAACGATTGCTTTTAGACTAGAAAGGAAAAATACCCAATTAAAATGAAGAATTAAAAGGCTTTTGCTAATTTAGGTCATTTTGATTTATACTTTTTTCATCTTACACACACACACACACACACATATAAATATGTTTATATATACAGGGTGTCCCATAAGTCCGTAAATATTTTTAAAATTCTTAAAAATTGGAGGAATTAGTACAATTGAACGTGGTTTGCGAAAAAGTCCTCATGAAGGGAGGAATTTTTTTTAGCTAAAAAAAAAAAGTTATATTTCTTGTCGATAGAGGGAGCTATACGAGAGCAAATCACACATTTCAAGGAAAACTATATTTATTTGGATACAGGCAGATGTTTACAAGCACATCACTCTTATTCTGTGTGCCCGCCATCACCACAAATTACAGTTTGCAAGCGAGTTACAACACTGTTAACTGCGGCATGTAGCATATGAAAATGGATGCATAAGATTTTGTGATGAATGGCATCCTTTAATTAAGTCTATCAGTCTTTTAATCCAAAGAAGATGGGCTATTGTTATATACGCTGGACTTGACATAATTCCATAAGCCAAAAATCAAGTGGTATTAAGTCCGGCGAGCGAGGAGGGCCAATCATTTCGACAGTGATGGCTAATTAATCATTCTTTGGTTCTTCTTAGAAACGTCTTCACTTTGTGATGAGGTGTGCCATTTTGCATAAACGTCACTGTGTCAAGGACATTATGAAATCACGACACACAGTCAAATGTGGCAAATGCATGGGCTTCTCAGTAAAGGCATCAAGACTGATTAGACCTGAACTTTTCTTCCACCCCTTCTGGGTTTGAAGCCTTCATAAAACTTCAGTCGGCAAATCTTGGCTTAGGTAAAACAGCTTTACTAATAAGGCTTTATCAACTAATGACAGCATCATAATTAAAACTTTATGCAGGGTAAACAGACAGAAAAATCAGAAATAAGCTCTTAGTTGTAAAACCCACAATTTATATGACTCTGATTTACATATTTCTTGTTACTGCATCTATGTGGTGCATTCTATCAAGAAAAAATTTTAATAATATTTTTCGTTACCTAAAAAAAAATCTTAATGAGAGTAACTTTCTCACAAATCGTGTTCAATTTTACTAATTCCTTCAGTTTTTATGAATTTTTAAAATATTTACACTTATACCACGGGTGATTCTAAATTGTTTTGCAAATTTTATAGGGATGATAGTAACCATTCAGGCAAGCAATAATTACCATATAATTACCATACCATATAAGGTTGCATTTCATTCTGAGAGGCAGAAAAGAGGAATATTAGAATTCCAACCTGAACTTACAACAGTGCTGGGAAAGCGAATGAATTTGACCAAAAGCTGTGCAATCAGATTTAATGTTTATTAAAAAATTTGCAGAAAATGCTCAAAATGCCAACCACATTGTGTCGTTGCACGGTTGACATCGGGAAAGAAACAATTGGCGCACCCTCTCGAAGATTCCTGGTGTCAGTTAATTTTGTCCGTGGCAACACTGATTCTTGCCATGAGATCTTCAGCTGAGTCTATAGGCATCTTATACACTAAAGATTTCATGTGCCCTCTAGAAAAATTAGAGTGGGTTAAGGTCTGGTGAGCGAGGAGACCAAGCCACAGGCTCACCACATCCGATCCATCGTGCAGGATATACAGCATTCAAAAGGTTATAAACCGTGACGGAAAAATGTGCTGGAGGTCAATCATGCATAAATAAATCATGTCTCTCTGGATGGTGTGCGGAACAGCCTGCAATAAATTGGGAAGCACTTGTTCCAAAAACATATGGTATGTTACGCCAGTCAAACGGTCTGGCATGACGTAAGGGCCTACCAGGTAATCACCTAGTATACTTATCCAGATGTTTATGGAAATTTTCTGCTGGAATTTATGATGGGTAGTGCAGTCGGTATTGCTGTCGGACTAAACGTGTTAATTGTGCATACTGAAAATGTCTTCTCTGCTGAATGTTGCCTCATCAATAAATAATATTAACGCAGGAAATCGTGGATCATTATTCCTCATTCCAAGCATCCATTGAGCAAAGTCTCCCTGGCAGGGATAATCATCTGTATCCAAAGACTGCACGTGCTGATCGTGGTAGGGGTGCTAGTGTTCCTCGTGCAAAATACGCCACACCACTGGCTGAGAAATACCCATTTCGTATGCCACTGCTTGCGTACTTGTGGAAGGAGCTGCTTCAAATCTAGTAAAAACTCGCCCTTCCATTTCTTGCAATTGTGATTTCATGAACATCCTACATTGCTTGATGGCAAAAGAGACGAAAAAAGAAAAGGTTTTTCGTAGTCTTCTATTAACACCAGAAACGTTTGCATGACTTGGAACTGACGAGTTGGAAATCGCTGTTTGTACAATCTTCGTGCTTCACGTCCATTCCCTTTCGCTTCACCATATGTGAAGATCCACCAATTCCTCGTACGTGTACTCCGTCACAGCATTCATGAAAAGTTTCAGACGATATTATTATGGTAATACAGTAAAAGTCCAGAAATCCGCAAAGCTTGAGACCAGAGGTTGTGTGCATTTTAGGATTTTGCAGATTTCAGGACAGAAAAGATAAATCATAACTTTCAGACTAAAAGTGCAAAATAAATAAGGCGTATTAAATACATTTAATTAAATTATTATATACATTATTGCAATAACTTATTATATGCATTAAATTATTATTATTACATATATAAATTGATTATATTATTCACTGTATTTATATATACACAGAATCGAGGTTTGCCGATTTCGCCTCATGCAAAGATTTCTGATTCCATGCTAGAATCACTGTTGCTGTAAAAAAAACAGCTTTTCTTTATTTTTCCGTATATCATACACAAACGTGTCACAATTCCATACGATTCTGCTACAAACTGAGGAGTAGCACCTGTCTCCATTTTTTGCAGAATTTGCACTTTTTGCATTACCGTCAATGCAACATGTTTCATTTTTCAACGTTTGCAAGCAGTAAAATAATGAGTGTGTTTCTTATCTATAATTGTATTAAAAAGGGCTGCTGAAATTGAAAATATTCTTAATTTATCCACAAAATATCCAGATTAAAAAAAAGGCAGCACTAAATAATCTTGTGAAATAACAAAGCTCAGAAAATACAACAATGTGAATCATGAACTTGAAAGAAGAGTGTCTGCTTTTTTACCTCAATGCAGATTAGAAGGGAAAAAAACTTTTATCATAATGTCAATAATTTAGTATTTCCATTATGACTTTATTATTCGGTAGATATTTTTTCTTCGATATTCCATACTCAATGTTTCGGTTTCCAAAACCAATAAAACAGAATGTTTATATTTGAGAGGCAACACGGATTTCAGGAGTTGGCGGATTTTCGGTATTTGACTGTACTTGAAGCAATGATGTTGTGCCATTTTCAAGGACACCATTTGCTCTGCTTGGCTTTCTTTGGTACCAACCAAGAGCAAAATGCTGCTTCTTCACAGTGAAAATTTGCATACGGTTTATTCTTGATAGTCTTAGAAGATAGTCTCCTTGTTCTTCCTTGATGCATTTCTACTTTCCCTCTTTTCTGCCTCTCGGAGTGGAATACGACCCTTTGTTCTATGGTAATTATTGATCATCTGGATGCGTACTATCACCTCTCTTAATTTGTAAAAACAATTTAGAATCACCCTGTATATAAAACATGTTAATAACACAAAAACATGTTTATACATATAAAAAACATGTTAATAACAAAAAATATGTTCACCTATAGATATAAATATTTTTTAGTCCAAAGGGATTTGAATCCCGAAGGACTATTAGTTTCGTTTTGGCATTTTGCGTCGGACTCATAAATGTCGGTTCACTTTTCAAACTGTTGCCACAAAATGTTAGAGTCCTGCATTATATTTGAAGAAATTAAATAATGAAAAATCTGCATAAATGTATGTATATTTCTCGTATTGTGATAAAACAATGGTACATAGAGTCATCAAATTTTGAATAACGTAATCCTCCAATGAATATGAGCATGCGGAAGACCAAATTTGAAATTTGAAATTTGTTTTATGATCGATTTCCTATTTTTTAAAATTTTGATGAATTTTTGATTAACAAACTCAAGGATTTCAAAGCGAGCAATGGCAACGTTGTGCAGAAAAAACATTTTTATCTCCAGCGCATGAGTCTCTGTATCGGAAATTCTAAAGATATGCTCGTTTTAAAACTATTTTGCGATATTGCTGTTGCACTGGATCTTATGGTTTAAGTGCGAGGAACATGATATTTAATAAAGAAAAGTAACACACAAAATGTTAAAAAACGCCCCTTTGGACGTAATTTAAAATCTGAAACATTTCAATTTTTTTTTGTATATATAAATTAAATATAGAAATTTAAGATATTGACTTGAAAACTATTGAACTAAATTACTGAAATAATACAATTACCTTGACTGTTTGTTCCTCTTACTATCTTCTACAGCAAAAATATGAACTGTTCCATGATCACTTGATACACAGATGAGAGAAGAATCAAAGTTGAAATTTATGCTAAAAAATTTAGGACTGAAATAAGAATTTTCAACACTACATTTGCTAGCATTTTTTCAAAATATTACCACTTGAAAACTGATGGGGAAACTATATGGTGTATACCACTTGGGGAAGGGAGAATTAGAAAAGAACTTGGATTGTCAAATGGTTTTAGAAACCTATATGAATAGACATGCTGTTGTAGTAAAGCATTTCAAAGTTAATTACAGTTATTATCTTCAATACTATATTTTTTTTTTATTTCAGTACTGTGCATTCACAATAAAAACATCCAAAGTACATTTTTCCCCCCTCAGTATTAAGGGAAGGAAAGCCAACAGAGAAGAATTTTTACATTAAAAAAAAAAAAAAAAAAAAAAAAAAAAAAAAAAAAAATTCTGCTTATTAGCCTAAAAAGAAGAAATCAGCAATATTTTACCTAAACAATGCCACCTGAGATATGTGAAGACTGAACATAAATTAAAAGCTTCAGTTTATGTATGCAGTAATAGATATTAAAATGCACAAAAATCAGCCAATTTTTAAAGTGTTAATTAATAATGAATGTTTTTTAATTAAATATAAGGTTCGTTCAAGGTTGATCGGAACTCTTATTTCTTCAAAGGAAACAGATAGCACAAGAAGCACCAAACTATATCAGCTTTCCAAGTATTCTCCGTGTGTGTTGAGACACCATTGCCATCATTGCGGCAGCTCCCTGATTCCTTTGGTGTAGAAGACTTAGTTGTTGTCCTAGCCACTGGAGGACATCGTTCCGCAGCGCTTCATCTGCAGTGAATTTCTTCCTTTCCAGATTGTCTTTAAGGAGTGCAAAGAAATGATAATCACTGGGGAATAAATCTGGACTGTAGGGGGGTTGGGGCACAATTACCCAACACATTTCAGCCAGAGTTGTTGTCACATTGGCTGTGTGAGAGCGAGCATTGTCATGGAGAGAAGAATGACATTTCCAGACATCTCAGATCTTTTCTTGCGAATGGACTTTCATACAGCCCTATTCAACAATGTGGAGTAATACTGGGCAGTAGTTGTGCTACCTTTGTCCAGAAAATACACATGGAAAACACCCTTCATATTTCAGACGACACTTGCCATGACCTTTTGAGCGGTCAGCTGCATATTTCTTGGGCGGCAGGGAACCTTTATGCTGCCACTCCATGCTGCTTCTTTAGGTCTCTGAGGTTGAATTGTGCAACCATCTTTCATCACACGTGTTGATGGATTGCAATAATTCATCACCTTCGGCTCAAAATCGATTCAGAATCTGTTCACAGACCTTCATGCGTGACCACTTCTGATCACGTGTCAGCTGGCAGGGAACCCATCTTGCACAAGTTTTGCAGAAGCGCAAGTGGTTGTGAGTGATTATCTCAACACTCCCAACACTGATATTCACCTTGGCAGCAATATCCTGCCCTGTTACTTGGGAGTTCTCAAGAATCATTTGCTCAACACATGCAATATTCACTGGTGTGACTGCAGTCGTGCAAATGTGTCCATGCGCTTCATTTGTCATCAGTTCCCATCCTTTGTGCATCTATTCATACCATTTGTACACTCTTCTCTGTGGCAATGTTTGTTCAACATACTGTGTTTACAATCTTCTGAAAATCTCAGCTGGTTTAACTTTCTCCTTCACAAGAAATTTGATTACACACCACTGCTCCACAACCACGACACACTGCTTGCCACTATGTTCGCTGCAACAGTTGTGCATGTGCCAAATACGTCATGCCGGGCACTAGTTACTCGAGAAGAAATACATTACGTCACCCGCAAGTTTCATCATGATTCGGCGATTCATCGATTATTTACGTACCTAAATCCTGGTCAACCTTAAACGACCTATGTGTAAGTAAACATAAAATGAAAACTAATCAAAATATTATTTAAATTTATAATCACTTTATGACAACATTCAAACATTTCATATATTTTTTAGCAATTCTATAATTAAAAAATGTGGTTATGATTCATCTGCACCTAGAATTTGTTTTAATGCAATTCACGCATTTATTCACAAGCATAAATTCTTGGAAACATAATCAAATTCTTGGTACAAATCTTAAAAGAGGAAATAAGTATAACTAAATTTTCATGGGAAACTACTTAAACCTTTAAATCTTATGAAGAGTTAATTGAAGAGTTCCACTGACATTTTCTAACTTTACATTTAAAAAATTTAGAATACTTACATGTATAAATCAATTTAAATTCTATTTAACCAAAAATATTACCAACGTATTATAGCAAATGTAATTTTAAAAAGTCTAATTTCTTTTTAATGAAGCCTAAAAATATTACTGAAAATCCATATTAATGAAATACTTTCAATAAATATATCTTTTGCAGAATGTTCTCCTTTTCAAATATCATCTTAACACTTTAACAGCTACAAGATTAAACAATTCTTTCTTTCCAAATACATACAATATCTAACGGTCGTGGTGGGAACAGATGGCTTTTGATTTCTTACTTGGTTAACACGAACAAAATTTTGGTCCTAGCAGCAACGTACTTGACCTTATACAAAGTTTTATTAGTTAACATGAATTATGAATCGTTTTTAGCCCACTGAATCATTACATTTCTTTATTAATACAAATTTTTAAAGTTTTCTGTACTTTTCCCCCTGTTGTTTCTCTGCTAGAACTTTGTTCAAAAATAATCAACCCCATTTAATTGAAAAACTCACAAAATACAATGCATTCTTTAAAACATAACCAGCACAGGTTACATTACTTGAAAATCAGGATCATTGCGATAACAAATAGAATATTCTTGAAAAAAAGAAAAAAAAAAAAAAAAAAAGAAAAGAAAAAAAACTGGTTTTAGTTTTGAGGAGTTTCTTAGTGCAAATGATGGTATTGCCATGTGTGCTCCAGTAGAATCTGGTGTCTTTAGTGTGTCCAATATGCATGATATGTCATTAGAAGAATGTAAGAAGGACAATATCATGCCACCCATCCACTAGGAAGCAATAGACTCCTTGGACACTTTAGAAGTTTTGCTGCAATGTTGGAATTGACTGCTAGCTTTACAGAAACCATGGGTACAATAGGCTGTGAAGTTACCAAACACTTTTGTTCCCTTCTCAAAAAGACTCTCCCCCTTTTTAGATATTTTCTTTGTTATGGCATTTGATATCTGCATGATACTGCTCTCATAATTAATTCTGAAGTATTTCAAATTTAATTTCAATTGTGTTAAGTTCTTGCATATTTATAAACATATCTTCACCAAAAATTTTGTAAGTTATAATTAACAAATTAAACAATAAAATCAATTCTTTCAGTTAAATCAACTTATGTATAAAATTTAAGCAATCTCAGCTTAAAGAATGAAAAATGTCTGTAATTTACTATATAAAATATAACTTATTTAGTAATTTATGAAAAAAGGTTTAACTGCAAAGAAATGATTAAAATGCATTAATTACAAAATTGAACTCAAACGATAAGAGCTCTCTTCCAAAAGAGTACACAACACTACGTATGAAAAGTACTTAAGAATTTTAATGCCACTATTGCACTATGTTTTATTATATCAAAATCTAACATCATATAACAACTTCACCATCCCCATAGTTACAGTGACTTAATATAACAATTAATAAGATTACAATGGGAATATGCTCCATAAAATAGGTTACCAGTATATATTTGCTTGGTTAGCTCCTCTTCTTAATTCATTCAACAAATTCCCAGAAGATGTATCAAAGATTCTTATCAGTGTACCCTTTAAGAAGAAATTAAGCATTTTAAAAAGTAATTAATTAAATTCAAATTACTTGCACAAATTTTAACTCTTAGAAGTAAAGAGAGGGAGGGAAAAAAACGTGATGAAATGAAAATTGCACATCCGAATGACTGATTGCAATCAATATCCAGATGTTTTTTATTAATTTTTTCGTAATGATGTAGTATGCAATCTACCGTTTTCAGTCTGTGATTTATTTCTTAGGTGATGCTACTGAAACACTATTTCTAACTGTGAAAATAAATATAAATAATTAAGAATACATAAATGAAAATAACTGCATTCATTAATTTAACAATCTATTAAATTTTCTATTCTATTTAAGTTAAATTCCTTTCATTTCATCAAAACAAAAGCAGCAATGACATTTAAGGCCATTTTTATGAGTTTGTAAGTCATATACATTATGCATGTCAAGCAGCATGGCTAAAAATATTTATCGCTTTTACTAATGAATATCCATTACGTTTCCATGAGATAATGCGAAAGCAGTAATATAGCTACAAATGTCAGATCATATACTACATCATTACCACTTTTTTTTTCCAACTAGAATACACTTATATGTGAGAAGAGGCTATAAAATAACAATAAACAGTTTTTGTTATAAATGTTGGGCTTGCTTAATATTCAAGGTTAAATTCATTTTCAGATTTTGAAACATTTAATATTTCCCTCACCTTAATCCTGAGGGTTTAATATATCTTCAGATTTTAAAGAAGGGGTTTATGCTTTGAGTATACAGTTTTAAGATTATGTGACAAATTAGCATATTCAGTAGATTTTGAAGAATAATTTTAAACAGAAAATAATGCAACTGTAGTAATCTCAAAACATTTGTGAATATATTGTGATTAAAACAAGAATGCACATATGGCATAAATGAACAATTTATGATAGAGAAACTAGTAAGGTACTAATAGTAACATGTAAGTACTTGTTTATGAAAAAATAATTTAGTTTTCAACATTTCGTAACATTGGTATTATTTAGTAATAAAAAAGATTAACAGAGTACATGGATATGGCATGCTTTGGCTTTGAGACATTCTGGCTGTGGTAGTTATTCTTTAAGAAAAATTTTTATGCATATCTTTTTAATGTTTATTTCAGAAATAAAAAACTTTTAAAATGTCTAGCATATGATTTCAGAGTGCGGCTGTTGTCTTTGGCAATGAATTTTCAAGAGCTAGAGTGTTAATCATTTAATAATTTAACAACAACAACAAAAAATTTTTTTACAGGTTATGGCATTTTTGGTACTAAAACCATCGACAAAGTCTTTCAAATTTTTGGCCAACTTAACATGTAAAAAATAATAGCCATTTTAAAAAATGGTGCCGCAATGAAAATTACATAAAACAGCAATGAATTAATGAAAACAAAAGCATAAGAAGTATATATTTTGAAACAGTAAACATTACATAAAATAAACATCCATACCCGAAATTTCAAAAAACAGTCCCAAATTAACTAAACTAAAAAGACAACAAACAGTAAATTTTTTCCTCTGTCTTCTGTCTGTGTGAACAGCAATCTGTTTCAAGTTTAAAAAAAAAAGAGAGAGAGAGAGAACTGGAGAATTCTTAGCACTGCAGAGCAAACTGGCATTGAAAAAAAAAAAAAAAAATCACAGAACAGCAGAGCAAACTAGCACTGCTCTAAAAGCAATATGCTGTTTTAACTTGAGAAAACTTGTTTGACCTGTTTTAACTTAAGAAGAAGAAAGATCAAAGAACTGCCCTTATTCGGAGATTATAACAATTGCCTAAGAACAGTTCATGAACTACTTTTGAGCTGCAAGATTTCTATTATAATGTAACATCAATCATAAATAGCCATATGCATCATTCTATATGCATTTTACTATTAACAATTATAACAAAAATCAATCTGGACAACATTATATTTTTATAGCCAGTGGATACTGTTCACCTATCTAGCTTAAAATCTTTCTAAAACAGTCTTTTTGCTTTCCTTCAAGACATTTTCCACAAAAGAATTCCCCAAAATGTTTAATTAAAATTGTAATTTAGCCAAAATTCATTCAGAAACTCCCCAGAAAGTGTTTTTTACTGATAAGGGAAATACTAGAAATTAGTCTTTCTGATGTAATAATAAATTATAATGGCATGAACCCAAGTAAAAGAGGAAATAGCATAGAAAACATTAGATTCATTTTCCGAAATATTTTTAAGTAAAATTTAAAAGAATTGAATGAATCAAGTTTGGAATTTTTCATGAGGAAGCAAAAATATGAATATTATATTGAGAGATCACAAATTACAGAGACCCTGAAATTAATGTTTCACATTAAATACCATAATTTCCAGAAGAAATTCTGCAGATGAATCTTCCAGGTGAATCTTCCAGATGAATCTTCCAGGACCCATCCTCTCCCCACCCCTGCCTTTTCTGCAATTTTTTTCAAAGGCAGACACGACTCCACCTGCCTCGCAATAACGAACTCTGACGAATTTTCTCTTCAGCATGAATCGATTTTTCTTGGCATTCTGCCAGATACAGATCCCATCAGTTTGGGTATTTGTTGGATAGTTTTTAAGTAAGAAGTGAGTGGAAAATTTTTGAAAATGGCACCTAAACGGCACAGAAGCTATACTGCTGGTTTTAAGCTTAATGTAATTTCATGTGCTGAACAAATTGGAAATAGAGCAGCAGCTCGAGATTTTGAAGTGGACGAGAGATGTATTCGAGGTTGGAGAACTGAAAACGAACTTCTTAAAAATATGCCACAACAGAAACGAGCCAAAAGAAGTGGTACTGTAAAGTGGCCGAATCTAGAGGACGACCTTGCAAACTGGATGAAGGAGCAACGAGGAAAGGCAATGGCAATTTCGACTGTAAAAATTCGCTAACAAGCAAAATTTATAGCAAAACAAATGAACATAAATGATTTCAAAGGAGGGCTTTGCTGGTGTAGCAGATTTATGAAAAGAAAAATATTTCTGTGCATACTAGAACAACAGTCGGGCAACAATTACCAATGGACCGGGGGGATAAAAAGGAATCTTTTCTAAAATGTATGACAGATATTATTGAAAAAAAAAAAAAAAAAAAAAAAAAAAAAAAAAAAAAAAAAAAAAAAAAACTTCTTCGGTCACAGATAATAAATATGGTTGAAATGCCGTTAGCTTTCGACTCTCCTGCAAACAGAACTGTTCATGAAACTGGTGCAAAAACTGTATCTGTGCTTACAACAGGGCATGAAAGAACGTCATTTACATGTGTGTTAGCTTGTGCTGCAAACGGTGACAAGCTAAAGCCGATCATCATTTTTAAACGAAAAACTATTCCAAAGGGAGATTTTCCTAATGACGTAATTATTTGTGCAAACGAGAATGGCTGGATGTGCGAAACAATCATACATGAGTGGCTACAAAAAAGTTTGGCAGCGTCATAAGGGATCTTTTTTCAAACCAAAAGGGTTATTGATAATGGATTCCCTGCGTGCTCATTTACTTGATTCAGTGAAAACCAGATGTCAAAAATTGTCGATCGTAGCAATAATTCCTGGTGGTTTGACAAAAATCTTACAACCATTAGATTTGTCATGTAATAAATCCTTCAAAGCTGAAGTCCAAAAGTGGTGGGAGTGTTGGATGAGTGAAGGATTGCATACGTATACCAAAAGCGGTAAAATGCGTAGAGCATCTTATGAAGAAGATGCAAAGTGGGTAGGAAGTGCGTGGAAATCGGTAAAAACATCGTCAATAATAGCAGGGTTCAAAGAAGCTGAAATTATATCCTTAGATAAAGAGGTTGTAAACCAAGAGGATGAATGTTACGATCTGGAAGACTTGAACTTAGATCAGGATTTACAATTTTTTTTTTAATTCACAGAGTGAGGAATCGGATTTTGATGGCTTCATATGATGTATAGGTTGCTGTAATTCCTTTTGTAAGTAAAATTTAAAATTTCCTTTTGTCATCCAAATTTAATATTTCGTTGCTGCAACATTTTTTATAATATAGTCTGAGTATTACAAATATGGACTTCTTTAGTGGGTAAATATAAGTATACTTGAGAACGTAAATATATTTTCAACATTTCTTACCTTTTATTTTTGAGTTATGGTTTCATTTCATGCATTTTTCTTAACTGATATGTCATATATCAGGACACATGTTGAGATTTTGCATCTATACGGCCCACGACGATGTCGTGCGCAATTTAATCTATTGCGGCGTTTCTGTGTAATTTTAATTTTTTTCCCACCATTTTTCTTGAGTGTGGCATTTACGCTGATGCGGCCTTTCTTCCGGAAATTACAGTAGATGATATCTGAAGTGCACATCTCAACAAACAATAGTGCGTTTGCTGTCCCGGCAGCTGTGATGAGTTGCCCCAGCGATCCAAATGATTCTTCCTTCCCTCTCACAGATCTTGAGGCCTTAAGGAGCGAAATTGCTACTCTAAGTAAACACGTGGAGTGATTCTCCCATGAAAAACCGAGAAATAAATTCCCCCAGAATCCACATAATAGACCACGTAGTTTTTCACATGATCATTCTCATGAGTGTGTTAACAATTGTTGTTAGGTTCATTTGCGATTTGGTAATAATGCACCAAAATGCCGAGCACTTTGTTCTTTTTCTCGGAATACTACAGACCAGGAAAACTTATAGTAGTGGCTGTCAATTGAAACTCATCGACAGTCATGCATTCATGTTGTTTACAATAACAGATTAAATTTAAAACTTTTGATCGATTTGGGCTCAGATGTCTCATGCGTCCCTCCCAAACTTCTAAATTTAAGAAAATTCATCCTGATTCACTACAATTATTTACCGTGAATAATTCCAGGAATTCTACATATGGAACAAAATTATTAAATGCGAATTTAGGACTTGAATGATACTTTTCTTGGAAGTTTTTAATTGCCGATATACCGGTGCCTATAATAGAAGTGAATTTTTTAAGGTATTTTGATCTTTCAATGGATTTAAAACAAGGCAGGC